ACCAGTACATAACATGCCCCAGACGTGGTCGTAGGAATTACAGACCTGAAGTTTGCTAGCTCCTGAGCATTCTACAGTGCGTGGTTTTGAGAACTGGCACACGCTCTTACTGAAGATGATGTTAAGGTGAGGAACAGAAAGAAGGGTAGGGAAAAGGTTTTTGTTTGTATGTTTTTAAGTCCTATATTAAACAAGGATCTGAATGAAACCAAAACTTTTGTCCCCTGATTTTACCTTGACCGGATGCTTTGGGCTTCTGTTATTCCTATACTTTTTCTCTTTCTTTCTTCCCCTGATAACCCAATTTCTAGTGACTGAGAAAGATGATGATTATTTTTAGGAAGCAGTCCTTAAACTTATCTTCATAATATTTTAGCACAATTTGTTTTACTATGCTAAGTGACAATCAAATTATTGTGGTGTCGTTTATCTAAGGGTTTCCGTTCAATTAAACATTAGGGCTTATGAAGGCTCAGATGCTGGCCGGTCACGGGTTTTCAAGAGGGAAAAGTGGTCCCTGCAAGCACAGAGTTCGATGGCTAGCAAGGGATTTCCAATGACATGAACTTGTAGGTACTTGATCACTAATGCTAGCAGAACACAGACCACCTGACCATTAGCAGAAGTTGCAATTTGATGTCAGCAGCTGACGATGACTCTGGGACAGAGGAGCTGTCTCAGCCTGGCAGTGCTGCGAAGTGTCAGAGTGCTCTTGACAGAAAACAACAAAACCCTGCAATTTCCTGTCCCGGAGAAGCCGTTTGTGTGGGCTGCAAATCAACAGAGGACGTGCGGGCAGATAAACCCCGATCTGCTGCCAGGATTGATTGCTTGAGTCAAGGACTTTCGGCAGATAGCCCTTTGGTCCTGTAAACAAGCATTCCCGGGATGGAAGGGTTTTTTTTTCTTATCCCATTTCTGTTTTCAGTCAACCTGCCTTAACTTTTTATGATGAAAATTTTTAAATATATACAAAGGTCATTCTTATTTCATTTATATATTGGTGTGCAGTTCTAACACACGAACCTTTCCATTTTCCATTATTGTAATATTATTGCTATGACTTTGAAAACTTAGTAATAATTCCTTCATATCTAATACCCATTCCATATTTAAATTTCCCCAATTATTAAAAAAATTTCTTTGTATTGTTGGTTTGAGTCAGTTGGGATTCAAACAGGAACCATACTCTTAAGTTTTTAAAATCTATAATGGTCCCCTACCCCCATTTGTTCCAGAATCCCAGTCATCTGTCCTATAGAATGTCTCATAATCTAGATATTGCTTCTTGTGGAGTCTTTTAGGCTCCCTTCTCCCATATCTGATGTTAATTTTTTCCTATTTTCTTATTTTTCTAAAGTATGTGCTATTAGAAATTAAAAACAAAAATATGGCCCTAGCTGGGTGGCTCAACTGGTTGGTGTGTCATCCCTTACACCAAAAGGTTGCTGGTTTGAATCCTGGTCAGGGCACATGCCTGGGTTGTGGGTTTGATCTCTAGTGGGGGCATATGCAGGAGGTAACCAATGTTTCTCTCTCTCTAAATCAATAAACATATCCTTCGGTGAAGATTAACTTAAAAAAACCTACACTGGTGATACTGAAAGAATTTAATGCACTAGAAGTGCTGGAAATGGATGTTAGGAGGTGGATGAAGCAATCTGTTCAAGATAGATCTGGGGGAGGGGGGGGAAGATCATCCATGGAAAATGAGATCCAAGGTTGAACCTCAGACAGGCACAAAGATGTGGGCAGAGGAAGAGGATGCTGCAAAAGAGACCGAAAAGTAGTCAGGTTTCTACAAGGAAATCCAGGAATAGTCACGGGCGCTGAGGGCAGCTTCAAGGAGGAGGAACTGCTCAGCGGAATGATCCATTTATAAAACATATATAAATGAAAATGTATAGAGTGGGTCATTGTATATTCAGTAGGCTACACTAAAATGAACCTGTATATTTATCCTAAGGAAGTAATGACGTAGCGTGTTTTGGAGACGAGGTGTTTGGACAGATGGAAGAGCAACAAACTGAAGTTTGTTGGCGGTGGTAAAAATGAATTGCAGCCCTTACTGATTCGGTGAAACTGAGTTGTAAAATCTAGTAAGTTCCACTTTTTTGTGAAATCTTTCCAGATACACTTTGAAATTTCAACCCATTTGTTCTTGTAGTCATACTATGCGCTTACCACGCTGTGCCCTGCCAAGGAAGATGCATTAGCATGTGAGGGTGACCTCTGTTCCTTCCATCAGCACACTCGCCATACTCACCAGTCCTCCAGTCACTTGCTCGCGTTTGATTGAAAAATTGAATGAGTTGTGACATAGCTGCTCTTTCTGTGTCTCAGTTTCCCTCTCTTTAAAGCACTGGTTTGACGAAGTCAATGGTTTGCATCAGAATCATCAGGAAGACTTGTTATTGTTGGCTCCCTTCTACTTTCTAATTCAGTAGGGACCAGAAAACGTGCGTTTTAAAGACAGAGATGCCAAGCTCCTGCTCCAGGGACCATACTCCCAGGATTCTTTTACTTTCCCAGTGCTACAGTCTGTGATCTCTTAGCAAAACTGCATTATCAACACTCACTATGGATTTAACACTCTCCATTATCTCCAATGAAAATTTACTGAAGCCTAACAGAATGTCATGGAATATGTAGACAGTATTTGTTGAATGTAAACAAGAGTTAACAGTTTCAATCTTCTATCTTTGTACACTATACATTTATCTTGGGGATACCTGTTAGGTTGCTGTAAGCTGCCAGGAGGGAGCACTATAGGTAGTTAAGGAGGCTCTTTTACATCTTATACCACACTAAATGCAGCCAGACACTTAATACATGCTATTTTTTCCTTCAATAAAATTATTGGGGGTAACATTGTTTAATCACTATGTAAATTTCAGGTATACGATTCCATAATATGTCTGTATTAGTGATGCTTAGTGATGTTGAGCATCTTTTTATATGCCTGTTGGCCATCTGTATGTCCTCTTTGGAGAAGTGTTTGTTTGGGCCCTTTGCCCATTTTTAATTGGGTTGTTTTTTTGACTTGTATGAATTACTTGTATATTTTGGACATTAGCCCCTTTTCAGAGGCATCGCTTGCAAGTATCTTCTCCCTTTTGTTTTGTTGATGGTTTCCTTTGTTGTGGAGAAGCTTTTTAGTTTGGTGTAGTTCCACTCATTTATTTTTGCTTTTATTTCTCTTGCATTTGGAGTCCAGTTCACAAAAAGCCCTAAGACCAGGTCCATAATTTAGTGCCTGTTTTCTTTTATGTATTTTACTGTTTTAAGTCTTATGTTCAAGACTTTAATCCATCTTAATTTTTGTGTGTGGTATCAGTTAGCAGTCTAGTTTCACTCTCTTGTATGTGGCTTTCTGATTTTTCTACCACCATTTATTGAAAAGGCTTCCCCTTTTTCCATTGTATGTTTGGCTGCTCAGTCAAAAATTAGTTGCCCATATATTTGTGGATTTATTTCTGGGTTCTTAATTCTATTCCACTGGACTGTGTCTGTTCTTCTTCCAATACTATGCTGTTTTGATTACTGTGGCTCTGTGGTATAATTTGAAGTCAAGGAGTGTGGTATTTATGACTTTGTTCTTCTTTCCTCAGGATTGCTTTGGCTACATAGTGGTTCAACACAAATTTGAGAATTTTTTCTTTGAAAAATGCCATTGGGATTTTGATACGGATTGCATTAAATCCGTTTATTGCTTTAGTTAATGTGGTAATTTTAACTCTGTTAATTCTAACCCATGAACGACATGGGAGTATCTTTCTACTTATCTGTATCTTCTGTTTTTTTTCAATAATGACTTGTAGTTTTCAGTGTATCTAGGTCCTTCACTTCAAGTTTATTCCTGGTACTTAAACTCTTTTTGTTTAAAGTGCAAATGGAATTGTTTTCCTTATTTCTTTTTCTGATGTTTCATTGTTGGTATATAGGAACACAACAGTTTTTTGTATGTTGATTTTATATCCTGCAACTTTATTGTTTTTAATAGTCTTTTGGTGGAGCCGTATAGAATCATGCCACTTGCAAACAGTGAGTTTAACTTCTTCATTCTCAATCTGGATCTCTTTTATTTCTTTTGTTGCCTGAGTGCTCTGGCTAGAACTTCCACTACTATGTTGCATCAATGTGGTGAGAGTGGGCACCCTTGTCACATTTCTGGTCTTAGAGGAAAAGCCTTTTCACCTTTATGATATTACCTGAAGGTTTGTCATAAATGGCCTTTATTATCTTGAGATACTTCCCTCCTATACCCATTTTGAGTGTTTTAATCATAAATGGCTGTTGGATCTTACCAAAAGCTTTTTCTGCATTTACTGATATGAGCACGATTTAAATCTTTTATTTAATATGTGTTTTTTTGATATGCCTTTGATGATCTAGGCAGTATGTGATATTTGCTTGTTTGATGATTATATATTTGATACAAATTCTTTTTAAAAAGATTTTATTTATTTTAGAGAAAGGGGAAGGGAGGGAGAAAGACGGAAACATCAATGTGTGGTTGCCTCTCGCATGCCCCCTACTGGGGACCTAGTCCACAACCCAGGCATGTGCCCTGACTGGGAATAGAACTGGCAAGCCTTTGGTTCACAGGCCAGCGCTCAATCCACTGAACCACACCAGCCAGGGGTTTAGGAGACCACATTAGGCAACGTGGTGGTCTGATATAACGGATACTTTTCCTGTGAATCAGGAACTAACGAAATTAGTCTCAGTGCTGCCACGGGCTTTGTCATGGTTATACAGGTCACCTACCCTTGGGTGGCTCTGGAAAAATAGGGAGATAGTGACCATCCAAGTTCAGGAAAAATTAATGAAATGCTTGCTTTAAAATATAAGTTCTAAGAACAAATCTTGATTTCAAAATGGTGTTTTTATAAAAATTAATTTTAGAAGTAAAAAGCTTCCCACCTAAAATCACAGGAAAGTAAGTTTTCTCTCTCTCGTTTTTTTTTGGTTTTGCCTTAAAGAATGAGATGCTATAGTTCAAAAATTGAATAACTATTTATTGTTCCAGAAGTTACATTGCTTTTTATACATATTTCATAAATGATACAGGATTTTACACATGTTCAATATTTTGCTATTTGTTTAAAGGACTTTTCTCCACATCCTCTCTCCCTCCCTTGCCTCCCACACACCCTGAAAGGACCTGCGCATTGCACTGTGCTATTCTTCTTAAAAACCCTGTGCACAAACAGGATAAATGGTTTAAAAATAATTCATACAACTTAACAAAAAATAAATGAAGGAAGAGGTTGCGACTGGGGGGGCAGGGGAAGGAAGTGGAGGAGGGGCTGGGAAGTGCAGACATGCATCCTTCACTCCATCATGCCAGTGGAACGGGTGGTGGCAGGAGCAGCAGCAGCAGCGATCCTGGCTGGCCTCAACCTCTGCAAGGCACCTGGAGTCTGGGTTTGTCATTAAAAATGTTTCTTTTTATACACAATGATTCCAAAGGAGAAAGAAAAAGGGAAATAGATTCCTTGCCACGATGAGGAGGGATGAATGGTGTGAAAGAAAAAAGCTAATTAGCTGTGTGGAAGCCCCAGCATCCTCTCCCTCCTGCCGCCACAGAAATGGAAAACAGGAGATTAGACAGGTTCCTTTGATTTTCAAGTGCACGTGTCATCTGGAAATATGGTAGAAAATATTTTGATAGAGTATAAGATTAAAGCTTCTTTCTCTCAATTTAAGAAAAAATTGGGTGAAGAAGGTAGGCTGAAAGAAGCCATAGAAATGTTTTCCTGTATAAAGATAAATTGCACCCTTTGAGATCCACACACTTAATTTACAACTCCCGAAGTTGTGGAGAGGGGGCTCACAAACAGTGTGGAAGTGTGTGTGTGTCCTTCCAGATTAACGAAGCCTCCGGATATGCTGTCACATAAGCAGATGAACAGTAATGAAATTTTCTGGTTCTGAAATGGCCACAAAGCCATGATTTTTAGCCAATTTGTAAACCTTACATCTTCCTGATTTAATACAGCTGAACCCGCCCCTCCAATTTGAGCTGTGGAGGGAGAGGGGACTGACTATCAATGGGAGAGTTAAAGGAGGGAAATTCTGCCTCCTCCCAAAGATTAATTAGTAGAAAACAAAACAAAACAAAACAAAACCTCATGCAGTATTGCCAATGATTTCTAGATACTGATCCAGAGCACTGGAACATACAGACATTTAAGAAGGTAATAAAGATAATCCAAAGTGTCCATCATCAGTCATAAGTTGGTTCCAATAATCACATGGATAAAATATAACCAACAGGTGTGGGTGGTCCGAAAAGGGGCAGGAGCAGGAGACTCCGGGTTCACTTTGTCGAGGCTACGTCCAATTTAAAATAAAAGCCAATGACATGGGACTCAGACTCTGTTTGCCACCCACACAGCTCGAGGATTTGCTTTTCTGTATATTTATTGACTCCTATGTCAAAAATAAGAAAAGTTAAATTAAAAAAATAGAGCAGAGTGGGGTGCTGGTGTGTTATTGTTTTGCTGACCTGCAAAGAAACTAACACCCCAGCATCATTTACTGTTTATGAATCCCTCAACTAGATATCATTTCATCCAGGAACTGAGATACTTGATTAAGACAATATTCACTAAGCCCTTGGAGCTTGTATTTCACAAAGCCTGATCCTCAGATTTTTACATTACTTTCTTCCCTAAGATCCTTGTTTTTGTTTTTTTTAGTTAAAGGTAAAAACCCTCCACCCCAACATGGCTCCCAGCTCCCACCTGCAATGTTTTAATTAAAAAGGCAATAGTTATAAACAAGTGTTCTTTCTGCCGGGGTTCAGAGGCTCTTTGCAGATCAATCTTTTTCACCAATTTGTCGGAGGGGCAGATGTACTTGTAATGGGTCTCTCAGTCTCTTAAGGTCCATTTCTGCCTAGAATAGAAATGAAAGGTGAGAAAAACTGGCTAGGGAAGCTTTCACTGACACTAGTATCTCCTAAGAAAAGGAAACTGTCTTCCCCCCACCACTACGCATCAGAGAAATCATCTCCATTACTCTCAAAATAAGAGTGTCTCGGTGGCAACGGGACCACACGGAGGAACCAACACCAAAGTCGGGCAGTTTCAGCTGTGAACAGAGCTCCAGCAAGTCTGTGCTATGTACAGGGGAGCACGTGATGCACCTCGGTGGTATTTTTCCAGAGAGAAGCCCTTTCACAAACCTTTGCTTGGAGCCAGAAATTTAATTTACGCTGCTTAAGACTTTTGTTATTTACTCAAGAGTCATTTAAGTTTTTCAATAGCTACTATGCAGCACCTTCAAAACTCACACTTGCTTGACCCTCACCGGGGAGAAGCTAGATTAATAGGCTTAAATTGGGACGGAAGCATCTGTATTCTTCACAGCTCCGAAGATGATTCTGTTGCATTCCCTCCCGCTGAGAACCACCATCCAGACCAACAGAAGCCATTAGTCCTCTCAGGCCAATGCAGGAAGATGGATTAATAAGCTTATTCAAAGCACAACCGCATCACCAAAGGCACACAGAAGGCAGAGAAGGTCCAGGGAGAAGCAACTACACATTTAAGAGGAGGGGAAAAGCTTCTGGAGATTTCTGAAAAATCTCCAAAGTCATAAAAGACTACAAAAAATAAGACGAGGACTTATTCGCCAAAAACTAATATATGAGGGTGAGGAAGGCACACTCAGAAATGTGAAAGAAGTAATGATTATGACAAATAAAATATTCCAATCTTTTAAAAAAGCATCCCGTAGTTCAATAAGCTCTCAGCCGCTCCTGGCTAAGATTCCTAGTAGTCTCTCTCTTACCTAGATTCTATTCTTGCTCCATTGCTACCACACATTTCAAGGTGAGAATCTTTGGGTCAATTATGGTAGAAAGATTTTAAAAGGCAAGTAAAAATAGACAACTTTAAAGAAACAAAATGAAAAAGTAAAAATAGGTCTAAAAATTTCAACACACTAGTATGAATAGATAGCTAGGACCCGACATTTTTTCATCTGCTGTGTTATGAAACTTCCTAGGTGTCCATGCTAAAATAGTCATTTTTACCAATTAAGGAATAATTTATATAGGAAGAAGAGTGTTGGGTCATTCTTTCAGAGTTTACCCACTGAAGTGCTGTGGTTACAGACACTACTAATACCATACAAGATGGAACTGGGATTTATTAAATTTTATTTTTAGAAAACTTACCTGAGCAATTGCATCCTTGAGTTGGTTGTATTTCTCTAGGTCAAAACGTGACTTTTTGGCTCCTTTATGGAAAAATAATAAGTATTGTCTGTCCCTGGCTTCTGGATAAACATATTCCTACAAAAACAAAGAGGAAATTAAATTATTAGTCCTTAACATACTATTTTCACAAAATAGGCATTTACTTACTGTTGAATAGATTCAACACATATGCATACATATAAACATATATACTGACATGTGTTAAATATTTATTTCTTTAAATTTTTATTGAGAGACACACACAGAAGAGCACACAAACTAAAAATGTAATCAAAATGAATCATCACATATTATACATGCTAATCATCACCAGCTTAAAAAAACAACAATACTGCCAACAACCCAGAAGCTCCCCTCCAGCCCCTTCCCAATTTCTAACCCCTCCTTTACCCAAAGTAATAAATATCTTGACTTTTGTGATTTATTTTCCGGCTTTCTTTGTAGCTTCCCTACTTAAACATACATCCTCAGGAACTCTACAGTATAGTTTTACTTGTTTTTTGAATTTTATAGAAATGGAGTCAGGGGACTTCTGGTTAAGATGGCGGCAAAGGCAGACATGTCTCCCCTCTTTGCACAAGTACATCAAAAGTACAATTAAAATATAGAACTACCATCACTCGGGAACGTCAGAGATTGACCTGAATAGAAAAGTCTGACAACTATGGAATTAAAGAAACCACACCCATGCAGACTGGTAGGAGTGGTGCAGACATGGAATGGGCTGGTGCCACACCATGTGGCTAAAAATTCAGGAGTAATATTTTGGGAGTGAGGAGTCCCAGACCCACACCAGGCCTCCCAGCCCAGCATTCCAGTGCCAGGAAGATAAGTCCCCACAACCTCTGGCTGCAAAAACCAGCAGGGATTGAGTCAGTGGAAGAAACTGTTGGAGCACCAAGCAGGTCCTCTTAAAGACCACACATGGAGTCACCTACTCAGACTCACTCCCTCTGAGCTCCAGCACTGGGATAGCAGCTTGAAAGGCACCAGAGGCACACAGGGAGAAACTGGAGTGTCTGGCATCAAGGTGAGAAGGGGCCACTGTTCCTTTGATAAACTCCCCCCCCCACAAACCTAGCAAGCTGGTGCTGTATCTGAGACTTCATCAACCTGGCTAACACTATTTAACCCACCTTGGAGATCCCCAGACACTCTTAGCCCCACCCAACTTATGGGCCTACTCAAGCTGCTTTTCCATAAGAATGGCTCATCTTGGCTGCTAAATCTTATCAAACAAGCAATAGCTGGCTTCAGTGAGCCCTAGAGGCAGCCAGATTAGATTCACAGCTTGGCTTTGCCTGGCAATCTCCAAGCCCAGTACAAGTAGCAGCCATTTCAGATTGCTTTACAATAAACTCAGGTAGGGGCCCTGGATAAAACACAGGCGGGGCTAACCTTGGCCTTCACCACCTGGGAAACCCCAGGGCCAGCACAACCAGTAGACAGCTACAGAACACGTCAGAGGACCCTGCCCGTGCACAGCTGGTCCTCCAAAGATGGTGGAGATTGGTGATCAGTGGTCACAGCCAGTCCTTGTAGCCGACAGGCCTGGTTAAATCACTTCCCAGTGATCTGCCAACCGCCATCAACGCTCAAAAACAAGAGAGGGTGTACTCAGCCCACATGAGGGGTGCACCTTGAGTATCCAGCTTGGGTGATAGGGGAGGCTGAGACACTGGACCCTACAGGACACCCACTACATTAGGCCACACTACCAAGCCAGGGAGTCACAGCAGCTCTACCTAATACATGGAAACAAACACAGGGAGGCTGCCAAAATGAGGAGACAAAGAAACAGGGCCAAATGAAAGAACAGGTCAAAACTCTAGAAAAAGGACTAAACAAAATGGATATAAGCAATCTATCAGATGCAGAGTTCAAAACACTGGTTCTAAGGATGCTCAAGGAACTTAGTGAGGACCTCAGCAGCATAGAAAAATTCCAGTCAAAAGCGAAAAATACACTAATTGAAATAAAGAAAAATTTACAGGGAAACAACAGTAAAATGGATGAAGCCAAGAATCGAATCAATGTTTTGGAACACAAGGAAGCAAAAAACAACCATGCAAAACAATGGAAAAAAAGAATTAAAAAATGAGGATAGGATAAACAGCCTCTGGGACAACTTCAATATGTCCAACATTTGCATCATAGGGGTGCCGGAAGAAGAGAAAGAGCAAGAAATTGGAAATCTATCTGAAAAAACAGTGCGAGAAAACTTCCCTAGTTTGGTAAAGGAAATAGACATGAAAGTCCAGGAAGCACAGAGTCACAATTATGATGGGCATGCAAAGAGGCCCACTCTAAGACACATCATAATTAAAAGGCCAGAGGTTAAAGATTAAGAGAGACTTAAAAGCAGCAAGGGAAAACAAGTTACCAGATGGTTGCCAGATGGGAGGGGGGAGAGAGAGTGAGTGAAGAAGTGAGTGGATTAAGAAGTAGAAATAGAAAGTTACAGAACAGCCACGGGGATGTAAAGTATAGCATAGGAAATAGAGTAGCCAAAGAACTTATTCAAATGACCCATGGACATAAATAATGGTGAAGGGATTGCCTAAGGGAGTAGGGAACTCTGGGTGGAGGGGTACACAGGGGTTAAAATAAGGATAACTGTAATAGCATAATCAATAAAATATCACTAAAAATGGAGTCAGTACGTATATGACTACTTTCATGCAATGTTATGTTTGTGAGATTTATCTTTTGTGTGTAGCTTTAGTCTGTTTTTTTTTCACTATGTTATATTATATTGTATGACTACATCACATTTTATATATCTATTGTAGTACTGACAGACTTTTAAAACTTTATATATTTTATTGTTTATGCTATTACAGTTGTCCCAAAGTTTCCCCCTTCGCCCATCCCATCTAGCTCCTCATTCCCTCAGGCAATCTCCAAACCACTGTCCACGCCCATAGGTCATGCATATATGTTCTTTGGCTACTCTATTCCCTATGCTGTACTTAACATCTCCATGATTATTCTGTAACTACAAATTCTTAATCCCCTGACCTCTACACTCATTCCTGTATACCCCCTTCTCATCTGGCAACCATCAAAACATTCTCTGTATCTATGATTCTGTTTCTGTTCTGCTTGTTTGTTTGGTTTTCAGATTCAATTGTTGACAGATGTGTATTTATTGCTATTTTATTGTTCATATTTTTAATCTCTTCTTCCTCTTAAAGAAGACCCTTTAACATTTCATATAATACCAGTTTGATGGTGATAAGCTCCTTTAGCTTTTTCTTGCCTGGGAAGCTCTTTATCTGTCCTTCAATTTTAAATAATAGCTTTGCTTGGTAGAATAATCTTGGATCCTTGCTTTTCATCACTTTAAATATTTCTTTTTTTTTTTTGACCAATGGGTTTTTTTAAATTATTATTTTTTAATTTTTTAATTTTTTAATTGATTATGCTGTTACAGTTGTTCTATTCCCCCTTTCATTCCCCTCCACCCTACACCCCCATCCCCACCATTACCCCCCCCTTTAGTTTATGACCATGTGTCTCAAGTCCTTTAGATTCTATATTTCCCATGCTATTCTTGCCCTTCCCGTCTATTTTCTATCTACTGTCTATGCTACTTATTTTCTGTACCTTCTCCCCCTTCTCCTCCTCCCACTCCCCTGTTGCTAACCCTCCTTGAGATCTTCATTTCTATGTTTCCACTCCTGATCTAGCTGTCCTTTTAGTTTGCTTTTGTTTTAGGTGTGGTTGTTAATAACTGTGAGTTTGCTGTCCTTTCACTGTTCATGTTTCTTTAACTTCTTTTCTTAGATAAGTCCCTTTAACATTTCATATAATAAGGGCTTGGTGATGATGAACTCCTTGAATTTGATCTTATCTGAGAAGCACTTTATCTGCCCTTCCATTCTAAATGAAAGTTTTGCTGGATAGAGCAATCTTGGTTGTAGGTCTTTGGATTTCATGACTTGGAATACCTCTTTCCAGCCCCTTCTTGCCTGGAAGGTCTCTTCTGAGAAATCTGCTGACAGTCTGATGGGGACTCCTTTGTAGGTGACTGTCCCCTTAGCTCTTGCTGCTTCTAGAATTCTCTCCTTCATTTTAATTTTGGCTAATGTAATGATGATGTGCCTTGGTGTGTTCCTTCTTGGGTCCAACTTCTTTGGGACTCTCTGAGCTTCCTGGATTTCCTGGAAGTCTATTTCCTTTGCCAGATTGGGGAAATTCTCCTTTATTATTTGTTCAAATAAGTTTTCCACTGGCGGCTGTGCCTTTCCCCCTTCTGGTACCCCTATAATTCGGATGTTGGAGCGTTTAAAGATGTCCTGGAGGTTCCTAAGACTCTCCTCATTTCTTTGAATTCTTGCTTCTTGACTCTTTTCTGTTTGGCCATTATTTGCTTTCTTCTGGTCCACTCCATTGATTTGAGTCCCAGTTTCCTTTTCATTGCTATTGGTGCCCTGTGCAATTCCATTCATTTCAATTAGTTTCGCCTTCATATATTTGTCTAATTTGTGGCTATAATCAACCAGTTCTGTGAGGATCCTGATCACCAGTGTTTTAAACTGTGCGTCTGAGAGTTCTGCTATTTCTTCATTGCTTAGATCTATAGGCTCTGGGGCTTTGAGATCTTCCTGCGCCTTGGACTCCCAGGTCACTGGGTTGTGACGCTGTATGTGGGGGTGTGGTCAGAGCGGGGAAATGGTGGCATCCTATGCTGTTTCTCACAGCTGGGTGAGGATTAGCGTCTTAGGTGGTTCACCTGGTCTGGGCCACTCAGAGTCGCTGGGTTATGACGCTGTATATGGAGGTGGGGTCAGAGCAGGGAAATGGCGGCGCCCTCCATTGCCGCTTGCCGCCGGGACCCGCGAGGCCCTGGTCCAACCGCCCACTCCCTCGCCTGTCCACCTGCGCACAAATGCGCGACCACAGTCAACACACAGCACTGCTCCTCCGCTGTCTCCCCCGAGGTCGCTTGCCTGGTCGCTCGCTCGGTCGCTCACTACGTCCAACCCTGCGCCTGGATTCCGCCCGCCTGGATTCTGCCCGTCTGGGTTCCGCGCACCTGAGTCCGTCTGACCGAGTCCTCCTGTGCAACC